ATATCTCATTTTGTGACAAATGTCTAGCTCTGTGTATCATCACTATGTATAAGGCAGCTATATCCATTCCTTTTTGGTATTCTAAACAGTGGAAAGTATTTGAGTCCTCAGTTCTATCTGGCTTTCTTAGATCATTTGCTGTCCTTTGTCTCAAAAGGCCTTTTCAATTACCTAACTGTGATATTATGGTGGTATTACATGCTTTGTCTCAACATCCATTCGAGCTTTTAGCCTCTTGTAGTATGTATCACCTTTCTTTTAAAATGTATTTTTTGTTGCTGCTAGCATGTGGATATTGTAGGTCAGAGTTGTTTGATCTGCATACACATAGGACTCTTTAGCACTCTACTTATATTTTGCTATAATATTATAGGTCCTTCCTTCCTAAGACTGGCAGCCAGAGAAGGAGATAAATCCTTCTCACCAATTCATTTGCCAACTATTTCTCACCTATATGACAGCTCAGACCCTGATCGTTTGTTATGTCCCATCACACTAACTCCTTTAGAGGTGCTAAAAATTGACTCTTTATTCATTGAGATCTTTCAGTTTCCCGTGATTTATCCCCAATTACCTTGATGAGGTGGCTTCACAAATTGATCCATATTGGTTATTCTGTGAGTCACGTCTTATCAGATTCATCACATTTCTATGTTTTTAGCTGCCCAATTAAATTGTCTGCTGGAGAACATCGTGCAGGCTGGTATATGGACTTCTCCCAATACTCTTCCTTCACATTATTGACACGATCTGGTAGTTTCTCGTTTATCAATCCAATTCTGCTCTAGCAACCAATTTTCACTTTACTTACTACTGGTTGCAATGGGCTGTGGAGAAATGAGGTGTTCCAAAAGATCACCTTGGAGCTCATCAGGTGGTATTATCATACTGTGCTTGACTTCCACTCATGGACTGTCGTGAGTGAAAGTAAAGGGGATCCTTCCCATCCCTGATGATCATTGGATTGAATAAATTGGGGTAGATTTGCCTTTAAACATTTGGGGAACTGTTCCTCTGGAGTCCCCAGCATGCATTACCCCCAGATTCTATTAGTGGAGCTAGAGAGTCTTTACCACACCCAGTTTCTAGTCACTGAGGTGATGGACAGAGGCTTTTCTGCCAGAGTGATAGAGTGAATTCCTCCACTCTAAGAGAAGAGGGTAGGTTTGGGGCCCTCCTACTTGGATTTTTTTTCCCCAGATGTAGGTAGGAGCAGCACCAGCCTACGTGGGAGTCTACTCATAATACTAGTTCAGATTAGATGTTCTGCTATTTGTTTGAGGTATGCTTGGCTCTTCTTTTTGATCAATATCAGTTCAGTACATTGCTCATGGAAGGGGATCATTATCTCCTCCTAATTCCAAACATGGAGTGGTCTTATCCTGGGTCATAGGTTGAGCACATTTGTTCCATATTCTCACCATAATTTTGGAGGCAAGTGGAATGTTCCTTGCTCACTTGGCTGGGGGAGTGAGGATGAATGTTTGTAATTCCAGACCAGATGAATTCTGTTCTTTTGGTTGAGTAACACATACCCAATCCCATCATTCTGAGCCTGAGTTGTTGCCTTTCAGGCTTCTTCAGGTGGAAAAGGTTTGTCCACTTAGATATTGCTTACTTTCTCATCATGATTCCAGTGGTTCGGAATGCATCACTCTGGCTATAGATTCAATCAGTAGTGTGTTTATATATATATATATATATATAATACAAAATAAAAATAGCTGCAACAAATACGAAGGGACTACCCCGAGGGTCCGACGGCTACAATGTGGGATAATAAATGTACGCCCGTTGGGTTTGGTAGTGTTGAC